GTCTATAGTCTAGTCTATAGTCTAGTCTATAGTCTATAGTCTAGTCTATAGTCTAGTCTATAGTCTAGTCTATAGTCTAGTCTATAGTCTAGTCTATAGTCTAGTCTATAGTCAGTCTATAGTCTAGTCTATAGTCTAGTCTATAGTCTAGTCTATAGTCTAGTCTATAGTCTAGTCTATAGTCTAGTCTATAGTCTAGTCTATAGTCTAGTCTATAGTCTAGTCTATAGTCTAGTCTATAGTCTAGTCTATAGTCTAGTCTATAGTCTAGTCTATAGTCTAGTCTATAGTCTAGTCTATAGTCTAGTCTATAGTCTAGTCTATAGTCTAGTCTATAGTCTAGTCTATAGTCTAGTCTATAGTCTAGTCTATAGTCTAGTCTATAGTCTAGTCTATAGTCTAGTCTATAGTCTAGTCTATAGTCTAGTCTATAGTCTAGTCTATTATAGTCTATAGTCTATAGTCTAGTCTATATAGTAGCCTATAGTCTAGTCTAAAGTCTAGTCTATAGTCTAGTCTATAGTCTAGTCTATAGTCTAGTCTATAGTCTAGTCTATAGTCTAGTCTATAGTCTAGTCTAGTCTAGTCTATAGTCTAGTCTATAGTCTAGTCTAGTATAGTCTATAGTCTAGTCTATAGTCTAGTCTATAGTCTATCTAGTCTATAGTCTAGTCTATAGTCTAGTCTATAGTCTAGTCTATAGTCTAGTCTATAGCTAGTCTATAGTCTAGTCTATAGTCTAGTCTATAGTCTAGTCTATAGTCTAGTCTATAGTCTAGTCTATAGTCTAGTCTATAGTCTAGTCTATAGTCTAGTCTATAGTCTAGTCTATAGTCTAGTCTATAGCTAGTCTATAGTCTAGTCTATAGTCTAGTCTATAGTCTAGTATAGTCTAGTCTATAGTCTAGTCTATAGTCTAGTCTATAGTCTAGTCTATAGTCTAGTCTATAGTCTAGTCTATAGTCTAGTCTATAGTCTAGTCTATAGTCTAGTCTATAGTCTAGTCTATAGTCTAGTCTATAGTCTAGTCTATAGTCTAGTCTATAGTCTAGTCTATAGTCCTGTAGTCTAGTCTATAGTCTAGTCTATAGTCTAGTCTATAGTCTAGTATATAGTCTAGTCTATAGTCTAGTCTATAGTCTAGTCTATAGTCTAGTCTATAGCCTAGTCTATAGTCTAGTCTATAGTAGTCTATAGTTTAGTCTATAGTCTAGTCTATAGTCTATAGTATAGTCTATAGTCTAGTCTATAGTCTAGTCTATAGTCTAGTCTATAGTCTAGTCTATAGTCTAGTCTATAGTCTAGTCTATAGTCTAGTCTATAGTCTAGTCTATAGTCTAGTCTATAGTCTAGTCTATAGTCTAGTCTATAGTCTAGTCTATAGTCTAGTCTATAGTCTAGTCTATAGTCTAGTCTATAGTCTAGTCTATAGTCTAGTCTATAGTCTAGTCTATAGTCTAGTCTATAGTCTAGTCTATAGTCTAGTCTATAGTCTAGTCTATAGTCATTCTATAGTCTAGTCTATAGTCTAGTCTATAGTCTAGTCTATAGTCTAGTCTATAGTCTAGTCTATAGTCTAGTCTATAGTCTAGTCTATAGTCTAGTCTATAGTCTAGTCTATAGTCTAGTCTATAGTCTAGTCTATAGTCTAGTCTATAGTCTAGTCTATAGTCTAGTCTATAGTCTAGTCTATAGTCTAGTCTATAGTCTAGTCTATAGTCCAGTCTATAGTCTAGTATAGTCTAGTCTATAGTCTAGTCTATAGTCTAGTCTATAGTCTAGTCTATAGTCTAGTCTATAGTCTAGTCTAGTCTAATCTAGTCTATAGTCTATCTATAGTCTAGTCTATAGTCTAGTCTATAGTCTAGTCTATAATCTAGTCTATAGTCGAGTCTATAGTCTAGCCTATAGTCTAGCCTATAGTCTAGTCTATAGTCTACTCTATAGTCTAGGCTATAGTCTTAGAGAATGCGTCCATCTATAGTCTAGTCTATAGTCTAGGCTATAGTCCATCTATAGTCTAGTCTATAGTCTAGTCTATAGTCTAGTCTATAGTCTAATCTATAGTCTAGTCTATAGTCTAGTCTATAGTCTAGTCTATAGTCTAGTCTATAGTCTAGTCTATAGTCTAGTCTATAGTCTAGTCTATAGTCTAGTCTATAGTCTAGTCTATAGTCTAGTCTAGTCTAGTCTATAGTCTAGTCTATAGTCTAGTCTATAGTCTAGTCTATAGTCTAGTCTATAGTCTAGTCTATAGTCTAGTCTATAGTCTAGTCTATAGTCTAGTCTATAGTCTAGTCTATAGTCTAGTCTATAGTCTAGTCTATAGTCTAGCCTATAGTCTAGTCTATAGTCTAGTCTATAGTCTAGTCTATAGTCTAGTCTATAGTCTAGTCTATAGTCTAGTCTATAGTCTAGTCTATAGTCTAGTCTATAGTCTAGTCTATAGTCTAGTATATAGTCTAGTATAGTCTAGTCTATAGTCTAGTCTATAGTCTAGTCTATAGTCTAGTCTATAGTCTAGTCTATAGTCTAGTCTATAGTCTAGTCTATAGTCTAGTCTATAGTCTAGTCTATAGTCTAGTCTATAGTCTAGTCTATAGTCTAGTCTATAGTCTAGTCTATAGTCTAGTCTATAGTCTAGTCTATAGTCTAGTCTATAGTCAAGTCTATAGTCTAGTCTATAGTCTAGTCTATAGTCTAGTCTATAGTCTAGTCTATAGTCTAGTCTATAGTCTAGTCTTAAGTCTAGTCTATAGTCTAGTCTATAGTCTAGGTCTATAGTCTAGTCTATAGTCTAGTCTATAGTCTAGTCTATAGTCTAGTCTATAGCTACTAGTCTATAGTCTAGGTCTATAGTCTAGATTCCTCTAGTCTAGTCTAGTCATAGTCTAGTCCTATCATCTAGTCCTATAGTCTAGTCTATAGCTTAGTCTATAGTCTATAATCTAGTCTATAGTCCGAGTCCTATAGTCTAGCCTATAGTCTAGCCTATAGTCTAGTCTATAGGTCTACTCTATAGTCTAGGCTATAGTCGTAGAGCATGCGTCCATCTATAGGTCTAGTCCTATAGTCTAGGCTATAGTCCATCTATAGTGAGTCTATAGTTCTAGTCTATAGTCTAGTTCCTATAGTCTAGTCTATAGTCTAGTCCTATAGTCCTAGTCTACTAGTCTAGTCAATAGTCTAATCTATAGTCTAGGTCACTAGTCTATCTATGTCTAGTCATAGTTCTAGTCTATAGTCTAGTCTATAGTCTAGTCTATAGTCTAGTCTATAGTCTAGTCTATAGTCTAGTCTATAGTCTAGTCTATAGTCTAGTCTAGTTAGTCTAGTCTATAGTCTAGTCTATAATCTAGTCTAGAGTCCTAGTCTATAGTCTAGCCTATAGTCTAGTCTATAGTCTAGTCTATAGTCTAGCTATAGTCTAGCCTATATCTAGTCTATAGTCTAGTCTATAGTCTACTCTAAAGTCTAGTCTATAGTCTAGTCTATAGTCTAGTCCAGTCTATAGTCCAGTCTATAGTCCAGTTTATAGTCTAGTCAATAGTCCAGTATATAGTCTAGTCTATAGTCTATATAGTCCAGTCTATAGTCTAGTCTATAGTCTAGTCTATAGTCTAGTCTATAGTCTAGTCTATAGTCTAGTCTATAGTCTAGTCTATAATCTAGTCTATAGTGTAGTCTATAGTCTAGTCTATAGTCTAGTCTATAGTCTAGTCTATAGCTAGTCTATAGTCTACTCTATAGTCTAGTCTATAGTCTAGTCTATAGTCTAGTTCTATAGTCTAGTCTATAGTCTAGTCTATAGTCTAGTCTATAGTCTAGTCTATAGTCTAGTCTATAGTCTAGTCTATAGTCTAGTCTATAGTCTAGTCTATAGTCTAGTCTATAGTCTAGTCTATAGTCTAGTCTATAGTCTAGTCTATAGTCTAGTCTATAGTCTAGTCTATAATTTAGTCTATAGTTTAGTCTATAGTCTAGTCTATAGTCTAGTCTATAGTCTAGTCTATAGTCTAGTCATAATCTAGTCTAGTCTATGGAGCTGAATTTACTTTTAATGAAAATTTGCGCAATATCTACCCCACTGTACCCCGTTCATTAACAAACAAACCTTTTATAAAGAGTTTTTGTTTGCTTTACAACCAAACAGATCATTAAATGATTAGATTTTTCATTTAGTTAGAGTCGAGTATTCCCTAACGCAACTGAATTTGTTTGTATGTTTATCAAAGAGGTGATTTTACCGCCATTTGCTTTTGTAAAGTTTTTAATTAAAACACTTTTTTATTGCTCTTTAATTTAGGTGAATATCTGTACTTACCTTTGGCAGTAGATGTCGGCAAAATTATGGTAACTGGAGCTGCTAAGTCTTGCTTGGAAGGTTAGAAACTCTAAAGATGTTTGTTGAAAAAATCCAGTTTTAATTTCAATAAATTGTTTAGAATAGATGATAAAGACACTCCCATTTAGTTTTTATTAATTGCTTGATGATTTTTGTTTAGAAAGAGATCGAAAAGTGTTTGTTGTTAGCTGGTGGTAAGGTTTTGTATGCCACGAGCTGTAATTTATTTGAAAAATTATTCAATTAAATTTCAAATTTTAAATTGAATTCAACAAAATTGTGAACAAAAAGAGAAGGGAAACATAATTGTTTAGATTTTGCGTAACTTTGCCCAAAGTTACATGAAAGTTGTTTAAATTTGCAACAAAAGTTTGTAAAGCAAAGTTTGCGCAAATTTGCATCAAAATATTTTCTCTAGAAATTTCTTAGCAAATTTTGCCCAAATTTATCTCTTTGGTTTAGAAAAATTTTCAACATTTGTTCTAAGTTGAAAATATCATTTATAATTTTTGTTCAGATTCTTATTAGAATAACAATTCCTTTAGATCCCATAATGTATTGAACATTTTTATTTGATTTCCCCATAGTGTTTAAAACTCAGTTTTCTTTGTTTATATTTATTTGTTTAATATTTGTTCTTCATTTGTGATAAGACTTTTTTTACAAAACTAGAAAAATTTTAAAAAAAATTACCTTTCTGTCTTGAATTATAACTCCCTTGCTTCTTCTAAAGTTCTCAACGCTCCTTGCCACGATTACCTTCCCAAACAAATGTTTGATAGATGATTTTAGGTTTTCCATCCTCATCCTTTGCCTCCTCATCTAAATAGGCGAAAACACACAATTTGTTTACAGTCACCGACAGACGTACTTTTGTCACCAAATCCAAAGGATTGATTTTAGAGCTTTTAGCAAAATAACAATGTGGGAAGCATGATATAGAAGAGGATCTCCTGGGTAGACTAAGAAGTCGGCACCAAAGGCATCACCACAGGTTACATATTTGCCTTGTAACCAGTAATCGCGAAAAACTAAATATTTGAGGGAATGATCAGGTTCCAGGAAATGCACCAGTTGGGCTTCTGTGGGAGTAAAATAAGGAATTAGTTAAGTATTTTGAAGGAAGTTAAAAGTTTATTACCATGCTCCTCTGCATGTGCACAGGGTATGTCCAGTAAAGCATTCCTACTGTCGAATTTAAGGCCAGCACGTATTTCCTGTAATATCTCTGAGGGATGTAAATGAATGTCTATGGAATAGAATGAAAACTAGTTGAATAGGAATGCAAAAATTATATAATTTACAGTCTAGTCCAGTTTATACTTTAGTCTAAATGTATTCTAGTTTATAGTCTAGTCTATGGTCTAGTTTATAGTCTAGTTTATAGTCTAGTCTATAGTATAGTCTAGCCTATAGTATAGTCATATAGTCTAGTCTACAGTTTAGTCTATAGTTCTAGTCTATAGTCTTGTCTAGAGTCTTGTTTAAGTCTAGTCTAGTGTACAGTGTTGTCTATGTCTAGTCCTATAGTCTAGTCTATAGTCTAGTCTATAGTCTAGTCTATAGTCTAGTCTATAGTCTAGTCCTATATCTAGTCTAGTCTATCTATAGTCTAGTCTATAGTCTAGTCTATAGTCTAGTCTATAGTCTAGTCTACTAGTCATAGTCTACATAGTCCTAGTCTATAGTCTAGTCTATAGTCTAGTCTATAGTCTAGTCTATAGTCTAGTCTATAGTCTAGTTCTATAGTCCTAGTCTATAGTCTAGTCTATAGTCTAGTCTATAGTCTAGTCTATAGTCTAGTCTATAGTCTAGTCTATAGTCTAGTCTATAGTCTAGTCTATAGTCTAGTCTATAGTCTAGTCTATAGTCTAGTCTATAGTCTAGTCTATAGTCTAGTCTATAGTCTAGTCTATAGTCTAGTCTATAGTCTAGTCTAGTCTAGTCTAGTCTAGTCTATAGTCTAGTCTAAATAAATAACAAACGTTTGTATAAATTTCTTTTGAAGTTTGTTTCCTTAAAGTTTAAGACATATTGTTATAGTTTCCTTACCTTTCTCCTGTACTCCTTGCTTGAGCAACTTTTTCCTTTTCCCGGCCATAATTTTCTCCATATTCCTCTCAGATTCTTTCAACTTTTCCTCATTTAAAGTGTCCTTTTGTTGATTTATTCTTACATCAAAGTTTTCCCATATTCAAGTAGCTCTTCGTTACTCGATTCCCTTAACAAATGCTCTTTCTTAGAAACCAACTCGGCAATACCTTGCTCTAACAAAAGTCTTGTCTCCAAGGGTGACAACTCAACCGGCATGGCTGAAATTTCCGATTGTTTTAATATACAACATATAATTGGACATTATTACAACACTTCTACTCCACTGCAATCATTGGCCGACCATCCTCGATTGGTACAAGTGCCCACCAGAGCTCCCACTATGTGGTGATGCTTGCGCAGGGTCATATAATCTGTAATTTTATGAATTTTATAAAAACTTCACATATTTCTATTAAATTATGTTAAAAACTTACCTTTTACCTCAAAAACATAGCCGGTACTGTTTAATAAAGTTAATTTTATTTTATTTTCCTGACTGGCGCCTTTTTCCTCTAATTTTGTGTCCATTCTCGGCAGAGCCCTGCGCCGACAAATATTAACGGCGGCGGCGACTGACACTAAATATGTCGGCGTCGGTTTAAAATCGACTGTAAGCCGGCTAAGTTTTCAACTACGTTTAGTTTTTAATTTTTCTACGATTTTAAATAAAAACGGAATCCGAGAGATCAGAAAATGGGATTTTGGAAGCAAATATATTGTTTATAACAACAAAACAGAGCAAGCTCAAAAGTTGTGTAAGAAATTATGCAGGGATGAATAAAAAATTCTTAAAAATTAAAAATAAATCCTTTCTCCAAGTTTTACTAGGATCTACCGATATTTAACCATATCCTCCATATAAAACATATTGCAGAAAATCAGTTTCTAAAAAATTTTGGATTCATATGGGAGGTTCCGCTCCCCTCATTGGTAGTCCCCCAATTTATTACCCAAAATGTTTACATGGATGTTAAAGTTCTTACAGAACAACATCATTTAAAGGGATCACAAAGAGATTGAAAAATATTCCAAAAGTTTCACTTTGAAAACATTATTAGAGTGTATGAAAACTCGCAACTCTAAAGGCAGACTATTCCTATTTTAGCGGTAATTTATGATTAAAATAAGTAAGAAGTAAGAGTTATATTCGGTAAATCATATGTCGTAAAAAAGCAAATTTCGGAAGTGGTCATATACATATATATATATGGATTTTGATCATTAGATTAATAAGAACGTCACCGTGATTTTCATATTAGGGGCTTAAATGTGGAATTAGATCAATTATGGACAAAGTTCTCTATAATTTAAAGTACGTTTTTTAATTCTACCATAATTCTATCATAATGATAACTTTTGGAATGATGTATTAGCTATAAACTGATTTTCTGTAAGAGGGTTATATTGGCGGACCGATCCTCATAATTTTATTTTTCATATATGGAGGTTTCGGTTCCTAAAAATAGAGATTTCGATTGATATCGATCCCTTTTTGCAAAATGGATGTAAGCGAGATAAATTTTCGTTCAATTAGGATACTGCGTGTTTAATTTTATGTTTATATATTCAATATTTTAGAAAATTCAAAAAGTACCAGTTAAAGAACGAAAAATTACCAGAAATACTCCATTTTAAATTTTCATTCACTCAAGTCTCTGATTGCTTAGTTTTATGTTTTTAGGTTCATTATAATAGAAAATACAAATAGAACCAGTTGAAGAACGAAAAAGTTCCAAAAAGTCCCGTTTTATATGTTCTTGAAGTTATTTTATTTTATAAAAAGGTTTATTTATTATAATAACTTCTTTGTACAAAATTTATTTGTTGAATGAAAAATTATAAAGACAAGTTTGAAAATAAAAAAATATAAAACTTGATTTAAAAACATAATAACATAAAGTAAATAATACAAGTTTTTAAAAGAAATAGAAGTATGTCGTGATACACTACAGTTCTCACTTACTCCATGCCCTACAGGTTTAATTTTATGTCAATAGGTTCAATATTATAGAAAATTCAAAAAATACCTTTTGAAGAACGAAAAAGCACCAAAAAGTCCCCTTGTACATGTTATCACTTAATCCGGGCTGTACATTCCTAATTTCATGTTTCTAGGTTCAATATTATAAAAACTTCAAAAAGTACCAGTCGAAGAACGAAAAAGTACTAAAAAATCCCTTTTTATAGATTATAATTTACTCCGGGCTCAACATATTTATTTTTATGTTTCTAGGTTTAATTTAATAGAAAACTCAAAAAGTACCTTTTGAAGAACGAAAAAGTACCAAAAAGTACACTTTTATAGATTCTCAAGTGCTTAATTACATGTTTCTAAGTTCTAAGTCAAAAAAGTACCAGTTGCAACATCGTATTGGGAGCCCGTTATTATGTATTCATATGTATAAGTTAATAAACCAAAAACAATTTTTATAAAAAAGTACCAAAAATAGGTAAAATTTTCAACCCTTAAACGTCCGAATATCCAAAAAGTACTAAATTTATATTTTTATTTGTTCGTCAAGTTATGAAGGATTCAAAAATATTTTTTGAATGTTCTCTGGTTTAAAAGATACATGGGGTGCAAGAGAAGTACCAAATTACAGTTTCTACCCGTTTTATTATATTCAAAGGGGCCGAATTTGAAAAAATTACCGGACACCTGTCCGCTTTTTTTTAAACTTTAATTCCAGCAAGAATGTTTATTTGGTATAGTGTGACAACTATAAGGGATCTAAAGTCGACATAAAGCCCACAATGGTTAGTACCAATATTTTGGCCCAAACAACATCTACATACCTAGACAGGTTATATCCTCTAGGTCCGTGAAGACATTCTCTACAAAGCTATAAATTTGTATAAAAGGCGGCTTAACAATTGTTTTTTGTACATATTCGGCCACCATAGTGTTTGGAGACAACAAGAGCTTCACTGACAGGCACACCTGACAGATATCGCGCTCTATTATGGGTGTATTGTAGTGATTCTGCTGAGATCAGTGGTATAATAATAAGTATGTATCCCAAGGAGACCCCCTGAACACGGCAATCAGCTTCCTTCCATTGCCTCTAGGTGATAATATACCATGTCATCACTAGCCGACCGACCACCACCCGCCTAGGTGACTAGGGAGGTATACAATTGCCACTCTCTTGTGGGCATTCTTCCAGGAGACCATCATGATGCCTCCTCTTCCTTGAAAAGAAAAGCAGCGACTCGAATTAGGCGCGTAAGACACGAAAATATCTGAGGCGAAGCATATACATCGAACGTTGAGCAAAGTTCGACACCGGTCAAATTTCAATGAGCGGCTTATTATTAGATAAAAGAAAACTTGCTTAAATGAAAACAAATTAATTTTATATTGTAAAATTCCATAAATTTAGCGAAAGTTTTCTGTAAATTGTACAAAATTTCGCCATAATATTAATATTCGCATTATTATGGCGAAATTTTCAAGCCGTATTAAGCTGAAAATTTTTCGGCAGCGCCGGCTTTGACATTTTGTTCGGCGGCTAGGCTTAGTCGGCTTAACCCAAATCGGCGCAACAGCTGTGTTTTTCACAGTAGTTAACACAAAGCTTTTCAAACTGTAAAATATAAGATTCTCAAACTATTAGAATTGATTAACTGCTTTATCTTATTAACTGCCTTATCACCGTTGGATAATTTTTATATTGTTGGTTTATGCCTCTGCTATGATATATTGAATTGCTATTGTGAGTTTGGTGGCTTTGCTAAATGCGTTGAAAAGTGTTGCCATATCAAAAATAAACATTATTTTTGTCTAAAAGGTTTGGAACAATATTTTAGTAAATTTTGTATAAAAAGTGTTAAATTATTCTATATTATTAATAGTTCATTAACTATTTGACGATTAATTGGATAATTTTAATAGATTATTCATAATTAAATTAAACTCATAATTTTTGTTTTCATAATAAAATTTTAACATTTTTTCACTATTTCAAGTAACTTACACAAAATTTCTGAAGTTTTAATCGATTATTTTAAAATTTTGAAAGGAACATTCGAATAATTTTAATCGATTAATACCAAATTTTTTAAGAAAAAGGGGAGTTTGTGAAAATATTTTAATTTTGGTAACACTTTTTAACGATTATTTGTATAATTTATATCTAATATTCGAATATAATCGATTATTCGAATAATTTTAAATGACTTTTTTTTAAATTTTTAGAGAAAAAAATTTATTCCTCACAGAAAATGCGATTTCTCAACAAAAAATTATTCTGCAAAATTTATTTGCGTTTAATCGGATAATTTTAATCGATTATTCGAGTGTAAATTTATATTTTTTTTATTTAATTTGGCATATAGTAACTTTGGCAATATTTTCGAAATTTTGGTTTGATTATGCGAATAAATTTAATCGATAATTCGAACATTTTTAATCGATTATCCGAATAATATTTATCAATTATTGCAAAAAATGAGATTTTATACCAAAAATGCAAATTCGGGTAAATTTTTTTACGAATAATCGAATAATTTTAATCGATTATTCTCTCTTTCTTGGTATGTTTAACGATTATTCGAAGTTTTTATTCGATTAATCGCATAAATTTAAAAGATTATTTGTTAACTGTTTCACAATATTTGTCATTTTCCATCATAAATTTACTGCAAATTTTAACCGATTAATTGGATAATTTTGTTCGAATATTCGAATATTTTGCATAATATTTGCTTATGTTCGAATAATTTTGTATAATTTCCTATTTTTTTTGTTTCTACGATTTTTTAATAAAATTATTCGATTAATCGATTAATTTTAACTGATTATTTTAATTTTTTGTTAATGAAACTCTTTCACAGTTCACTAAAATTACAATTTTACAATAAAAATTTAATTTTCTACAATTTTTAATCGGTTAATAGAATAATTTTAATCGATTATTCGAATAATTTTTTATCATATTCACTAATGTTCGAATAATTTTGCATAAATTCCTATTTTTTTAATCATTATTATTTTTCCTACGATTTTCGATTAAAATGATACGATTAATCGATTAATTTTAATTGATTATTCGAAAAATTTTTAATTAAAATTCCAATTAAAACAACAAAAATTTAATTTTCTACAATTTTTAATCGGTTAACCGAATAATATCAATCGATTATTCGAATATTTTTTATACATTTTTCGAATAAATTTCAATACTAAATTCTTATTCACTAAAATTCCAATTTCACAGTAAAAATTTAATTTTCTACAATTTTTAATCGGTTAACAGAATAATTTTAATCGATTATTCGAATATTTTTTTCACGTTTTTCGAATAAATTTCAATATTAAATTCTTATTCACTAAAATTCCAATTTCACAGTAAAAATTTAATTTTCTACAATTTTTAATCGGTTAACCGAATAATTATAATCGATTATTCGAATATTTTTTATATATTTTTCGAATAAATTTCAATAGTCTTTCTTAAAATAATGAATTATTTCAAAACTTTTGATCAATTATTCGAAATTTTAAACGATTAATACATTTTTTCTTGTGCTGCTATAATTTTGCTCTTGTCT